ACCTTGTGAGGAAAAATAAAGAAAGAAAAGAAAACAAGGCTTCCACCCAACTTAACATTACAATCGGGGTGGGATTAATACTTGATAATTAACCTCACCAACTAAAGATAAAGAGCTTGTGAGCAAATTCTCACATTCAAATGTTGCAACAAAAGAAATCAGAAAAAAAAAGAATTTGAATATGAATGCGGCAGGCAGATCTTTACGGTGCCTCATTACAAACGAACTGACCCTCATTCAAGCAGATTCACGTCTTGTGTTCTGGAAAAAAACAAATGAGATAATACCTGAGTGTTTGATGGCGCTAAGGCGGCTCCTTTATGTAGCGCTTTCTCCAAATGCATTGCTGTTATGCATAGCATCCTCTAGCTGATTATACATTCATCATCTGTTACATATTCAAAACATCACACTCGAGCCAGTTTGATGATGGCTAATATTGCATGCACCATTGACGAATAGGGGGGAAAAAAAAAACTTAATCAAAGATAATATATTCCAGCTGCAGACACAGGTCATATGAATTTAAGGGGCATTTTAAATATATCATAATTGAATATGAAGCTTTTCGGTTCAAACAGACTGCAGATGTAGTCGTCACAGTACAGGTGTGAGGCTTAAATAAATACATCTACCCAGCCAGTAATTAAACAGTGTAGCTTTAGGCAAATTTGACTCGTAAATGAAGATGGAACAGACAACAATGAGGCCACTTTCCTTGTGAGACCAGAAATTATTCAATAGTAGCAGCCGAGATGTGTATCTTTCTGGGGTGTATTGATAAGATCAATGCAACCTGAGCAAGGCTATTAAATGTCTAATGTGTTTTGGAACTTGTAGATGCTATGACAGTGGGGGCATTAACAGAGAGAGAGAGAGAGGCCCTGCCAAGTGCATCAGAGCATCAGAGAAAAGAGCTCCCTGAAAGATATCAGGTTTGGCCAGGAGGGGCTTCAGACCACAATAAGCATCAGCAAAAAAAAAAAAAAAGAAAATATGAATTAAAAATGGCCTCTTTACAAAATTAGGAAAGGTTTAGAGAGTCAGCATGGGAGAGAAGAAAGGTAACTTCTATCAACTCCTCACACTCACTGTTCATGACTACTTTTAAAGGGTTAGAATAGGGGGGAAAGCATTTTCTTAATTGGTAGCTTCACTATTAATGAATGTGCTGATTATTTTGACTGAGATTATTGTTCGGTTAATAAAATGTCAGAAAATAGCAAAATCACAATTTATATATTATGTGTTAAAAACGCAGAAAAAAAAAAACAAAGATAGTCCATTAAGTGGAATGAGAAAACCAATAGCTACTCCCTTTAAAGAAGTAATGACGAATGAATTTGCAGATTATGAATTAGTCCGACACAGCTTCTAGACCTCCACTATTGTCCAGAAACTATTAAATCAGCTGACGCTATAATTAACATGCTCCGTGAACCCAGGCTGTGTTGATTCCACATGCACCATCCTGCTGCTGCAAACCAAATACGTGTTAGTCTGCTGCTGAAACACCCAACAAGTTCACCGTTTTGTCCTGTTTTGCTATTAAAAAAAAAACAAAACAAACTACAGCACACAGCTGTGTTGGGAGCTGACTTTTCAATTAATGAAGCAATGTGAAGCATTGTTAAAGATTTACGTGTGTGGGGAAGTCAGAAACACATACTTGGTCTTTTAATGGAATTTGCTGACAGAAAGAAAAATATAATAAAGCTCCAGTCTTATCCTCTACCCTTTATTTTTTATTTTTTGCAAGCACGTGTGCATATTTCCATACATACAATTCACTGTTCAATGCACTGATAGATGTAAATCTAAAACACCATTTAGTCCTGTAGTTCTTCCTCGCACAACAGAACTAAACACACCCTATCTATTCTGTCCAACAGCTCCCTGGCTATGATCAACTGCTGCTGTAACGCTGCTCTACTCTAAATCCTTTTTGTTATATAATCGCCCTATTTATTTTATGTTTGTATTGTTGCACCTGCATTGGAGTACTTTCAAATTTCCTCATACTTGAATCATGTAGGCACACATTTAAAAACCAGAGGCTCTCAGCCTTTTGTTGAGACAGAATAACCTTATTTCACTCAACTGAATTATCTCTAAAATATCTAATAATGAAATCCAGGAGGTACAGAAAACTGGAGGTATATGCTCATTTTGAATGAGAGTTACCTTTTTCCTCTTTACAATTTCTTCTTGCTTTCTCCCTCACAATACTCCCTCCCTCCCTCTCTCTCTCTCTCTCTCTCTCTCTCTCTCTCTCTTTCTGTCTCTCACTCGCTCTTTCCATCCTCACCCCTCCTTGCTTCATCCAACTCTATTGCACTCTTTTCATTGCCCAGCTCACGTATTGAATCTGCCTGATGAAAACAGATCTCACTGCAGCACCACAATAGAATGGCTGATGCAGGAAAGATGAACCCTAATGGATTTTTTTTTCAATGTGCTCAAGATTGAATATAAGGCCTGACCTCCAGATGTAGTAGATCCATTTCAACAGCAGAGATATTGTTTATAGTGAAGACACAAAAAACACATAGACACACTTGGACACACACATACAGTACAATGTCAACAGCAGCAGCCGCCGCCACATTGTACGCTGTATCCTTTTAACTACCAAAACAGTCTAAAATTGGAATTAACCCTCATTATTTATCTATCCGTGTCAAGTGAGGTATTCAGCATCTCGTGTTTGAACTGCAGAGTTTGCTTAATTACTCTGCTCAACAGACTGTGTCAAGGTGAGGCACCAATTTAATAGACACTCCGTTCTCAGCACAAATGAACCTCTGCTACGGTTTGGTAGTTTTGCCAGGCAGAGTATTTGATTTAGAAATTTCTGAGTTCGCTTTATATGCTGCTTTTCAAGCAGGGCCCTGAAAAGATCTCCTATATGTTTAAGGAGCTTCTTTTAGAGGCAGTTAGAAAGATTTGAGAGGTTTACAGACAAAGTGCAATTTACAAAAAGATCCAGATCACTTTGTTTGAAACCCTTTTGAATTTGGTGCTTTAATTGCTACATTTGCAGTTTCTTTTTGAAAACTCACGTGATTATGTGCTAAATTATCCGTAATATACACTTAATGTAGACAATATATAGTATTTACAGTACGCATGGCGCCCCACTGCCAAAACCAAAAGCACCCTTTAAACCCCTACAGGATTATAACCTGGAGTTAGCAGCATTTGCACAATATGTGTTTTAAATATATGTTGATTGTGTGCGAGCTGAACATTTAAAATCTCATGCATTTTTATCACACAGCCTGCACTATTCAATCTATTAAAAGCACAGAGTGTGGCCTCTGTAGCAGTAACAAATACCCCGAATGCCGAGTGGAAGACTGGCCAATCAACCACTGTCTCCACGGTAAAGGTCATGACCAAAATGTGAAATGAATATGAAGATAAATGACACATGAATTCAATACCTCGGGGGAATATTCCAACATTACATATAATGCATAGTGTGTTTATATTTCAGATCTTTATCGAGCCATATTTTGACTATGTGCTGACTGTTGTTTGTCTTTATCTCTGCTGTTTATGATGAGCATTATGCCTGACCTTGATATGCATCTGTATGTATTTAGTGTGCACTGTATATAACAGGCGCTGTTATCTTTTTTTTATTAACATACGCAAAATATACTGGTGGCTTTTGTGATGTTCGAGAGAAAGATAACAACATGAAGCATCTATAACCTGACCTGCCGCAGGTAATTTATTAAATTACCAGAAAGGCACATCTGTCAAGTGTAACTATTTCTATATCTGTTTATGATATGTAAGTCAATATCAAATAAGTTACGACAGTATAGAATTCTTGACCTTCAAACCTTGGATGCACAAAATCTTGCATATGTTAACATTGTTTACTGTTCTTTCAATCGATAAAAAACATCAGCAGTCCACATTTCAAAGAGACGCATGTAGATATGACACTATCTCACATAAATGCTACATAAAAGGGACACTTTTCAGTACAGTATTTACATTTTTTGTTTCTAAGTAGGGAACAGTCAATTAATCTCCACTTCAAATTCAAAACTAAACTACACATTTAGAGCTACGGGTGCAACGTACTATAAGAAATGTTTCCAAATAGACATTACATGTGTGTTGCAGCCTGTACATATGGTCCATGTGTGCAGCTGTACAGATTTAGATCATTTGTTGTGATAGAAAACCTGCCCTATTTCCAGCAGTTCTCATGAATGCAATTATGGTTTGGAGATGCTAATTTGTAGAGGTGCAGTTGTGCGAGAAGCTGAGGGGAGCAATCAGCATGTATTCATGTTTGAAGGCCTGACAGATTGACCGATGCATGCAGTCGATGCAGATATGATGCTGATGGATTTCCCACAATCCTTTGCACCATGCATTAGAGCTGACATGGTAACCACTGAACAATCATCCAGTTCCTCCACTTAGTTCCACTCTCTTGAAAATTTGCATTTATCTTCAAAAGTTCTAGTTTCATATTAAAAGCTGGAGTGTTTTTTACAGGGTTGACATCTTTTAAATGGATATTTTAGATGTTTTGAAATATACAACAACCTTTAAAAATCATGTTAAATCACTGTAAAAAGTGAAATCTGTTCAACCTCTGATGTGCTCCTTACTTCTTTTTTTTTACCCTTAACTGGAGCAGTGTATCTGCTTCAGTCTGCAGTGTGTGTTCAGTGTTTGTTTGTGGTTATATGTGAAGGTTAACAGTTTGCCCATATGTCCTCCTGGCTACTATAGACATAAAATAACTTCTTTCTTATGGTTTAAGCCATTATAGTTGACCAAATCACACCTCAAAACCAAAAAGGTTCCATTTAAAACTAACACTCACTCGTCCAAAGCACAAGTTATATTTTTTTCCCATAATCACAAGCTTCAATCATCTGAAAATGTTGCTTTTTCAAATATTAGCCGTCTGCTGCTACAGCACAGGGCCCCCCAAGGGATGCTTCAGTCCACGTAGCGCTACTCACCGAGGGCATTTGGCTGGAAACAAGGTGGCTGTCCTGTGCCAGCATGTTCGACATCATGAGTGTGGGCAGCTCTGGGTAGGAGTACGGGTTGATGAGCCCATTGTGTGGCAGCGAGTGACAGAGGTAGCCTGTAGAGTCGTGCTCCATCAGGTGAAGAAGAGGAGGCTCGGGGTGGTTCGGCGGAGTGATGGGGGGGATCTCGTAGTCCTCGTCCCCGGCTCCGTTTCCACTGGAGGAGCCGCCGCCTCCGCCTCCTCCTCCACCACCACCGCCTGTCTGACCTGTGTAGCTCTGAGTGGAGGGACAGGCACAAACATGAAAAGTGAAAGAGATTAGGTTTGAAGAAGTGGTATGAACAGCTCAAATTGAAGCTAAGTTTCTATGGGGCACTATTACTTAAAGGTTGCCAATGCAGACTTTTAGTTTATAGCAGAAGATGCAAAGTGGGAATAGTTAAATCAGGTGCAATGGATTCCAAAAGTGCGTTCAAAGCTCGAAGGACTTCCTGCAAAGGTGACTGGAGCACTTTACAGGCTTAGGTTGATATAGCCTCTCCCATGCAGCCGAATTATCAGTACCACTAAAGGTGAGCAGCAGCATTACAAAATCTGTTGCTCTTTACTGAAAAGTCAAACGTACAAGCCCGTATATATAAAGTACAAGGGCAAAAGCCAACTACCAGCTACCAATGTGCACTTCAGAGAAAAACATCTAATCGCCAAACTTCAAACTTCCTTGTGTGTTTCCCAAACCGTGAACAAAAGCTATTGCAGAAACTAGTTTAGTTTTAGATTAGTGGTCAGTTTGGGATGAATCGGACAACAATGGCAGAATGTTTTGTCCCCCAAGTGCAACGGCAAGTGTGCTGAATTTGCTATAGCCATTCACAACAACAAGACTGTTGGAAAATGTTCTTTTTTTCTTATTATTAAAACCAACATCAAAGTAATATTGGAAAATTACTAACAAGATGTACATAAAGTCAACCTCAGGTTTGGAGGGAGGTGTTTGCCTCTTAAATTTCAGATTTTCATGTTAAATTAGTATTGCTTGTTGGAAAGAAAACAAAATATGATGACATGCATTAATGCTCATTTGCTTGCAGTGGATTCCAAGGTTTATTTGGCAGAGAACTCCTCACCAACATTTGGCTGATGAGTTGAAAAAAATGCAACACTGAGTTATTCTTGAATGTATTGAGCACTGCATTTGTGGTGTCATCTAAAGCTATGGTGTATTAGAAGGTCGCTTAATTAATACTTAGGGTAGACATAACTGCATTTGAAAGATTATTTAAAAAAATAATGTAAATATATGAGCTGAAAACACTGCCAAAAATAGCCTAAAGAAATATGATTGGTTAACATTTTGTCAACTGAGACTTTCCATAAAAAGCTTTGTAAACTGTTTAAATTCTGATCTGTCATTGCAGTGGAATAGGTATAATTTTGTTTCAAATGTTAAACAGCTCATTTCGGAACAAAAACCCGATGCTCAGCGATCGGTAATAAAGAAGACCAACAGTCGCTGTATTTGTGTGCTGTCACACTAACACAGTAAGTCCAATCAGATCAGAGTTGTGCACAGAGCAAGAAGAAAAGAAAAATAGCAGGGAAATTCAACGGGGAATGAAAAGCAATTTTGTCTGAGACGATCCAACTTGACTCCCATTGTAATGACTGAGTCAAATTAATCATCACAAATAATATTCTGGTGTCAGCCATTCAAGGGTTTTTTAATAGAATTTTTATGATTCATGTCTAGCAGTATACATCAAACAGTCAGTTCTGCAACATTTCTGAAATCAATTCAATATCATCTTTGTGTAGGCTGTCATCCTCGGCAGCAGAGTGGTCATTTATCTCTCAAACAGATACTTTTAGAAAATAAGGGGCATGGGGAGATGGAAGAAAGGAGAAAGGATGCAGGGTACATTTTTTTCTTGTTTCTTTCAACCCTGTTTTAGAATAAAGGTGAGTGCAAAGGCCTATTCTGCTATTTTTTGAGTATATCAATTTTAGATTTTTTTAAAAAGATATATAAAGAAGAATCTGATTTTTTTATATGATAAATAAGCATTTTCAGCTGCTTGGAATTAAACACTAGGATTGTTTTACTGCAAACTAACCTTAATAAACGTCAAAAATTATTAACAACGTGAATGTAATTGTTGTTTGATGTTGGTGTTTGTTGATTTAGAAGCGAAAGCAGCTTTAAATCCTCATGCTTCTGACTTAACAGTAGGGTAAAGCCTTTTGTTTCCATTTATATCACACATAATAGCAGAGGAATCTTTTTTCCACAACAACTTCAGCAGGATTAAAATGTATCCAATGTCTTTTAAATGAATACCAATCTGAGGGAGTAAGCACAAAGCCAGATGAGAGGAATTTCATTAAGTTACAATACCTAGAACACCCCCTCTTTAATTCTACCACAAAAAAGGAGGTTAGCAATGTTTTATTGTAAAGCAAGAACGTAAAGATGCACTCAGCATTAAAAGCGCACTTTCATCTTCCTGAATGTTCCACCAAATAAAAAAGAAAAGAGGAGAAAGAAGTGTGATTGCCTCAATTTGATTTACTTTGTCCTGACATAGCCTGCGAGCAAGTTGATATTAATTTTCTGGACTGTCCTTTGAAGACAGATGTTTTTGCAAACCTTTGGGGATAGTGTTATTGTTTGGTCTAATGGACAAGAAAACGAACATTTCCTGAGATTCAATTTCCCTCATAATTGTTGGAAGGAAACTAAATTGTCTGCTGTAAACATTGGAGCTATTGTGTGAAGTGAGTCCCAGTGCGTGTCCCCTCTCAGCCATCATGTGCTTCACTCTGACTGTGGGAGACCACTGTGTAATCCAACGACCACCGTGCTTAGTCATCACCCCGCGCGTTCATCAATCTTTTGTTTTTTTTCCTCAGTGTATTAATAAATATCCAAACAACAAAAACATTTTCCCCATGCCATCCATTGCTTTTTGATTGTGCAAAGGGACAAGGACTGCGGATGTGTCGTGTTAGATTGCTGTGAAGGCTCATCCAGTGCCCTTGATGATAAAATGTAAATACCAAGGACGTTCCCAGTTGGATTGTGGCAAGATAAATTATTCATATGCCTCTATTCAGAATGAGATTGCATGTACAGAACCACATGTACACTTTGGCTAATGTATACTCTTTTCTCCTTTAAAAGTAAAATCCAAACAAAGGCAATGCATTTGATGGATCGTATAGAGCAGCATGTGTCCTAGTATGGAATTGGCTTTTCAAACAAAAGCATCCTCTTTGTTTTTCTTTTTTCCTTTTTCCCTATGAGCTACCCGTCATCGGTTTACTTTCAATAGTCAGGGCCACACTCCTACCAAAAGCTGCATTACACAGATTCTATTTTCAACACTAAAACATCCTTTATTTTCTGCAGCTGATCAATACGCAGCACTATAGGGAACATTATTTCCAATACACAGTATGCTGTGTGCACAGCGAGCGAAACACAATCTGTAACATTTTAATTAAGAGACAGATCTCTCAACTGTAAGTGTTACATACCAGCACACCTTTCATTTGAAAGAAACAGATGAATAGACAGTTGGTCTGGGACTGAGAGAGAAAATAACATTGATTGGGGAGCTTTCCAGCTTGTCTTTTATTTGGCACAGATCTCTCCCTCCCTCTGTAACACTGCCTGAGTATTCAAGGCCTTCTGGAGATGATATTGACTGTGGCTAATGGCTCATTATCTGTATATTCTACTTCTTATTAGATTATTGTTGTGATGCCTGTAGAAATCAGGATTTAGGACATCATGCAGTTAATGTTAAATTGTATAACCATTTTAGAACGGCTCTGCTGTCAAATATAATGTATCTGCACAATAAAAAGCTGCATGCCTTGTAGTATATATTAAACATTGCATGAACTTGGTGTAATGGTGTGTTTTGAGTGGAAACTATCAGGTGATTAAGCAGTTACTTAATAGCAACTTACACAACTTATTAAAATATTCCTGCTTTTCTAGTTTTTTTTTTTGGGGGGGGGGGGGCGGGCTGCAAGCTGTTTTCTGATTTTATTTTGACACCGACTAAATTATTAACTTATGATTCTAGAAAATAACAATCTGCAATCCCAGTAATGAGTAATCGCAGCTCTACTTGTATCATTTGCCGGTTAGCAAACAAAAAGGATCGTCATTACACAAACATTTTGACAAGTGGGCCACAGACTGTGAGCGTTTTCCACCAGCGAGACATCAAGTGACACAATAAGAGCGTAAGTGCTGTGTTTTCAGGCCGGTTCCTTGTGTTCCACACAGACGCAGAGTTTGGAGTCCTCCCAAGTCAACGTTTGTTGCGGGGAAGAGGGCGGGACCGACAGCTCCAAGACAGACGATGACATATCCGTCTCACTACTAATGTGCACTTATCTGCCTATTGGAGAGCTTTGTCACGGCTGTGATTTATGCTTAAAATCCCCCCCCCCGACACACACACACACACACACACACACACACACACCACCGCCACTTCCATCACCTCCGACACTCTTTGTTCCAACACCTTCCCGTACTCGGCGCGCAGATGCAGAGTCAGGCCACCGTTATCTCTCCTTTCCACGCAGTCCAGTTCAAGAAGAAAACTGTGGATTTATCTTTGCAATGAATTTAAGAGCTATCATCTATTTTCATTCAATCCGCCATCGCTCTCCCGAAGGAGGATTATGCTGCGTATTTATGAATGATCCTGTTTACTAGTGTACACACAGCTCTTGTTTTAATGTAACACAGCAAAGGCAAATAGCGTCTGACTACAAAGATCGCTTACTTCAAGAGCCTAATCTAAACGGCATGAACTCTTTGCTGGCTGTTTTTGATACTCTTTCTCCTCTTCTCTCCTTATCTATCATCTCGCTCCGTCAACTCAGGCTTAATTAAAGCCATGGTTGTTCTTGTGCTACAATATCATGTCGGGGGGGGGGGCACCAGATCCAGTTACAGCCACCCTACACCTCCACTTTCTTCCTTCTCCTAGATTTTGGCCCAGTTGGTCGGGTCTGTCCCTTGTAAAGCCAAAACAGTTCTGGTGCCTGCTCCGCACACCCTCCCTCCACCCCATCCCTCTGTCATCTCATCTCGCTCTAAAATAGCCCAGCTGCATTATTTATCTGTCACGATTACTGTTTGGGAATCATGAAAAGAGCGCTGGGGATGGGGGATGCTAAACCATCAACTTTCTGTTCGGCGAATGAGTTGGATGGGAAGGTGGGAAGAGAGGAGGGAGGGGAGGGGGAAAA